ATATATATATATATATATATATATATATATATATATATATATATATATATATATACACGGAACACAGTTGTCAGTTTAGGGATGATACATTCAAAGCAAGATTATCGCAGTGATGACACATATCCCATGCGTGGATGCAGTGTTCCCATTCTTGTAATTAATTACGCAGGCATGCTCAGTAGTGCCTAGCAATATTGGTTAAATAAACAAACCAGTCCTTTCCCTCAAATAAATGATTATTTAAGAACAGTAACAGGAGAAATAGATGAGTGTGTAGTGATAGTTTGTACATTTCTATTTGTATTGAAATGTGCTTACTTTCAGTGGAAGAGAGATTCAGTTTTGTGGGATATTACTATTTTTATTTGTTTTTGTCGGAGTCAGTATTAACTTTTAGTTCATATTTCTCCTGCCCAGTCCATGAGTCCAGTTCGTGTTTTATATTACCCACCAGTATTTGAGTATAGTCGCGATCACATGACAGACAGGGTTGTAGGAACATGAGCTGCTTATTTCGCCCACTTGTTCATTTTTTGTAATTTAGTAATACAGACCACAATTACATTGCGGTACGAAATGAGTCTAACCATGGTTGTACGATATATATTAAGGACAATGTAACGCAAACATATGGAATGAATTGATGATTTGCCAACCACAAATGTGACCACCACCATCTCGTCGTCGACGTCGACATGATCTTTATCAATACCCCATCTTTTCCTACTACTGATCGAGTATTCCTCCCAACGCCACTCGCATTCACTTTGCCAAAACTTGTATCAATTTCATCCCACCTTCGGTCACCTCTGTTTACTATTACCATACGTGATGTTATCAGTCCTTGTCCGCCCTCGTCTTGCACCCTACCAACATGACATGCCTACAACCATTTATGTTACTTGACTGATTAAGTATGTCTCTGTTTTATATCTCAACTAAAAGTTCTTTTTTAATCGTTTAACGCCTCGGTATTATGAGTTCATAACATTTAAATATATTCTACTTTTAGGTAGTAGTGGAAGGACTTGATTTAAGTTTCATGCTAATTACTATCATAGTTTGTGGTCATATTGGAAAAGAGGAATTGGATGCATCGGCATTGGCACTGTCTGTAAGTAATACCACCTTTCATATTTACACATAGTGTGGTCCTCATGTTATTCTGAATTTTTGGAATTTTTGGAATGGTTATTACTTAAAATGACTATTACATTGCGATGTGAGACTCAGTGGCACACAATCACCGAACTATTTTCCTTTGAGTGATATTGCGCAAGTAATTTGCCGTATAAATAAAGTATTGTAATATTTTGTGTGTCATCGTAATTATATAATAACGTATACAGTAGTTTCATTATCTCAGAACATTCGGGTTATTATTTTTGTCGTTACATTTAGAAAGTCCCTTTCGGTGATATGGTGAATTTGTCATGGTATAGATAAGCATTCGCCGTAAAATATGTTTGAATTTGTATCATCTAATTCGCTCTGAATTTGTTATTATATTGATATTAAAGGCGTTGCTATAATTTGAAGTGTTGTGCAAACGGAGTTAATTATTAGAAGAGAACCCTGCCCACAACACATTTATTCATGATCAACTCGTACAGTTATTAACATTTGTTTCAAGTCTTGGTAATGAAGAAGTAACATTACCCCATTTTGATATCCTGCAGCTGTTTTTCCATTATACGTTTATCAGCTTTTCATCGCCAGCAACCAACACAGGAATCTTGTGTGCACGTGTTTAAGACGTCAGATGGTGTTTATTTTTCTCGTTTTCATAATTACACATTACACACAGGTTGTCTGATATGAATAAACATTATGCTTTTTTTTAAGTCATCAAAACGGTTTTGGGGATAAATAATATGATTAATATTTTTTGGAACAATTCAATCCACGGCTTTTTCACAATCCATGAAAAATCGTCACTAGACATATGCGGACTAGTTAAGGATGGGAGAATTGGAAATGGCGCTTCACGTGTATTCTGCTTAGACTTAACACACTTGTCAGTACACGTTCTAGCTGAGATCTGAAAATATTCACATTAATGATATGGTAATACAACTACCAAAATATTAATGTATTAGCGTATTTAGCGATTATCAGCTCCGACGCCATAATTAAATTTACTCGTATTGGCCAATAACAAGGTAGATATATCGGAAATTATTACACTACACTATATTTATAAATCTATTTGTGTCATATTGTCATTTCAGTTGATTAAAACAGTTGGCGTATCCATAGCTTATGGTTTGATAGGTGGCATCAATACCTTGTTTTCGCAGGTAACTCCTTTTAATTGTAGTTTACGATAGATATGATAAAATCTTCTACGGAAGCAGATTATGTTGGAGAATCGTCCCCACGTTATTGCACGTTTTAGATATACAACTCGTCATAAAAGCCACCATTCTGCCACATCGTACGTTTAACCATGGAAAGTACTAACAACCCCTTCCATGGTTTACAGCTGTAACAAAAGATCCAAATATTATGCTAATATTGCTTTATGATTTCACCGTTTACCAACATGCAAACAAATGATACACGAGGTGTTATCGAAGTCTTCATTATCGTAACTAAAAAAGTCTAAAAACCGACAAAATTGTCAGCATGAATGTAGACTAGTTTTGTGCTCCCGACAGTAGATTATACCCCCCCCCCCCTTTGTGAGTAGGATTCTACTTATTATTGTTATTTCTCATGGTAGACGCACGGTAGTGGAAATAAAAAGCAAGTTGGAGTGATATTACAACGTAGTATATTTATCTTGACATTAACCCTATTCCCATGCGCTACACTGTATTACAACGCAGAAACTTTTCTGTTAATTATTCGACAAGAACCAAAGGTTGCCAGGTACGTTAAAGTATATATATATATATATTCAAATGACACTTCTGATACACTTACTGTTTGTATTGAAAAAAAAAACCAGTCGTACAATAAATATTAAATTTTACAGCACGTATCAATTCTTCAGATAATGTGAAATACAGACACATTTCAAACACAAAAACACGCAAAACAAGGTTCGAATTCACACCTCGTCACTGTAAATAGACGTACCATTCACTATGTCACACTTTCTGTACCCCCCCCCCAAAGACAGCTTGGTACAGCATTGTTCAATAACCAACTAGATGAGGATGAAAATGCAACATGTATCATCTCGTGAATAATATACAATATAATATTCTTGTTTGCAATTGTTTTTCAGAATGGCTGGTGCCTACTGCAAAATTCTAATCCCTTATCTTCTGGTAAGTCAAACGCATCCCCACGGCACGGTCAATTGTATACTCCTAACGTAAACCTCCCTTCAACTTCATCTTATAGTCCAGTTGCATGAACCTATAGTGTAGTTACAAATTCCCCAAAAAATATTTGTACAACGTAATCGAGTGCTGGAACAACAGCTGAATAGGTTAGACAACGATCACAGTGTTATCAAATAACTGGAGTGCGGAGTAATAGTTGGTGTGTCCATCCAACACCAGAGAGACAGTGTGTTCGCTTTCCATGGTCGGCTGCACAACAGTTTATTCTGTCACTATGAACAATATGATTATGAAGGTGTAATTATCGTGTTATTAAACCTCACGCCAGGCACCAGGGTTCGTTACGTTCGCCAGCCCTTCACCGAACAAAGACACACACACACATAACTATAATAGTGTCAACTTCTAATCTCAGTCGCCCTGTCGAGAACTCTCTAAGACACACATGCAATTCAATCTATGACATAATTACAAAATTTTGTTGAAATTCAATGAGAACGTTTTTATAGTTCACCGTGACTGTCTTAGCAAAATACCACAATTACCTCACTCCATCGTCCGAATCGCGCGGTTTCGCTAAAGCCGGCCATCCATAACCGGCCCACGAACAAATATTCATTGGCTGGCGAAGATGCATGAAACATGGATCAGCTTATTGCCAATGGATTCATCCCATGTGTCTGTGCAATGGTAGTTAGATATTCATTTTGTGATGGGACACTACATATTATTTCCTTTGGTGTTATAGATTTACATCGCGTAGATTTTAGGGGTAACCCAATTCAACCTCACGGACATAGTGTTTTTTCACCAGCGTAAAATACAAATATTTACACTGTTTATTATATTATAATAGTCTCAGGATACTGTTCACAACATAATGCCATGCTTACTCTCCAAATGCACCCGATCTGACTCACATTTGCAATGTTCTACTTGAGATAATAGTTTGTTGTAACTTTTGCATTTACTGATAAGTGCCCGCGATGTGTGGCTATCGCGAATATATGGTTTCATGATATTCGATATTTCATCTCCCAGGGCCATTATCATTGGGCACTTATAATACATACTTTGTACGTTGTCAGTATGACCATTCCAAGGCTTGAACGTCACGAAGGCGTTGAAGAAAAGTGCATTGATGTCCAAGGAGTTCTTTTGAATAATAATTTTCCTTGAAAATGAGTGCCCCCGAATTCAAGTTCAAGCTCGGCAATTGATTTGTAACGTACAAAGTATTAAATACACTGGTCACATTCTTTGTAATTATTATTGATTATAACGTTATAATGATTGAATTATTTGTGATCTAAATTGATATTTTCTACTGTAACATGAGATTATGAGATGATACAATTGTGAAGTGAAGATTGCTTACCACACCATTTCTTCACGCCTCTTCAACTGATCCACTAGTAAGGACAAATAATTATTATGTGTTAATACTGTATATTGTTTATTGACTAGAACCGGAAAAAACAAAGCAAAATTAAGCATATCCTGTAAGTCAATGCCCCAAACCATCCCACCTTCAGTAAATATAATGGTTATAAGATACTTTTTATTAAGTCTTGAGTAGAACTGCTAAACGGAAAAAAACGTCGCTTATAGTCATTATATTCCTACGGAGATTCCAAAAGCATTATTCAAAAGTGATATTTCATGCTATATCATGCAACTGAAAAAAAAAGTAATCAAAGGTCCTTTCTAATTAACATTTTTAAAAATAATATTTTATTAAGTTGTAGGTAAATATAATATCTCATATCTTACGTACTCTAGGGAGAGAATATGGTCCTGCTTGTCAGAGCGTATCTGAGGAACCAGAATATCGTCGCACCAATTGTAGTGTCATATCTTATCACCACATGTCTCCATATACTACTGAGTTACTTGTTTGTTTTTCAACTATCACTTGGGATCAGGTAAATAATGTTTGCCCTATGTGTGTACAAACATTCCGTTGATAAACTAAGACGAAAATGGCCGTCTAGAGTTTGATGGAGACAATCCACAGCTCCAAATACCAAGGTAACACCAATCAGTGGAACAGTAGACGTGATGACGTGGAAAAATTGAACTATTACGCTATTTGATGGGTAAACCACGTCTCGTGGCGTTCTCACTCCCTACGAGATCTTGGCGGCCATTTACGTTTAAGATCGATTCGTACAATTTTCTTTAAATGTACAGTTACCAATATCCTTTTCGGTAATTGTTTTTGAAAACCGTGAACGTTCCTGAAATATTTTTCATTTCAGTGGAGCTGGACTAGCACTGGTCGCTTCCGTTTGGATTCTGCTACTGGTTATGTTATTGTACATCAAAATAGCAAATTTGCACAAAGAAACATGGGCAGGTAATTCTCGAGATGACAAACAGAACACACTATTTGTTTTGCGCCCTCCGCGGTGCTCCAAACCCAGCACACAGATGTCAAGCTAATTATTTGTATGTGGCTGAACTTTCTGAAATTGCGGCGTTTACCAGCAAACTAACTAACCATTCAAATAAGAGAATTAACAAAATAGCGCAGTTGATTTACTATTTCAGTATAATTTTCCACAAGTTAAAAGTTCCCACCATATCGAACTGCTTAAGTTCGATGTCAACACTTTGGCGATCGCGGGTTCTCGTTGGATTGTCCCATTCGATTCCCCTCCTGTATTAAGAAAGCGTTGTTTGGTTGTTAAACAAAAAAACGCCTTGCGTTGCATGATAAACGGCCTCCTCCCGCGGCCTCCTGAGTCTAAAGGTCCGTTTGCCCGACCGAGTGTTCGGAAGCCTTCTATTATGTGATTTGCTTTGTTATACTGCAAGTCGGAATTTACGGTGTTCCGAAATTTCCATTTTGAATGTCATTTGTATACTGTAAAATGACTAATTTTCACTAGGTTTAAATTTCACTGATTTACCATTTCAGGCATATTCAGTGGGTTTTAAATTCATGGTTTTGTCATTTAGATAATGTGTTCTATGCTAAATTTTACATATTCACTGGGTTTTAATTTAGCGCATTTTCCAGTCAGCGAAATAAGCTAAATTAAAACCCAGTGAATAATTACCCCTTTACAGTACTCAGAAAACGAGTTGAATATATACAATTATTCTAATTTCAGTTATATCGTTAAATAGTGTAGTTTATTACTTTTTGCTGAAAAACGCCTTATTTTCAAGTTTAAAATTTGGTTTAACGGTAGATACGCGACATGAATTAACTTTATATATAATATTATTTTTGAGGGATGTTTTGTTGGTCGAAAAATGACACGAACAATAAGACATATTATCACATGTACAGAAGAGCTTTTGTGTTAAAACCGTAACTTGTCTGTACATAACATGCAAATTTGAAACATATATTAATTTTATTCTTAATGTAACAGGTTGGTCGACTGAGTCTCTTTATGATTGGAACAAAGTTCTAGTTTTAGGAATTCCTAGTGCAATAATGATATGTATTGAATGGTGGAGCTGGGAGATCGTCACTTTCATGTCAGGTTGGTATTTTGTATTTTCGTTTATGTGCATGTAGTATCCAGTATTTAATGGACTTTAACTTTGAATTTAAATTTGAAATCTTATTACTATATATAGGTAAGTATTTTCTAAATATAAATGTCTATGCGGGATAGTAGGTCACCGGAACTGTTTATTAGTACAAAGTTCAAATGTATATGATGTCACTACACAAGTCTATTTGAGTTGCAAGTCATTCTTGTAATAATGGGACTAGAACTTCCCCCAACAGGCTAAGACATGATAAAATAAACAACTATATTATATAAAAAGTGGTAGATAGTATGGGTTTGTCGGGAGTGTGTCTGTAGAGGGCGAACTTTACTTTCTTTGGTATGTCCTTTGCGTAAGAAACTAAGAAAAAATACATCACATTAAATTTAAAATTATGTCAAATTTTCTAGTCAAAAAAATAATTTGACAAATTTCAATTTAAAGAAATATAAAAACTAGATTTGTTTTTCCTCTGTGTGATGTAGTATTATCATATCTTTAGTCACGTTATTCAAGTGAAATGTATTATGTTAGCACCCAGGGCTAGAGACATATAGTGCCAAGAAATCCAAGAAAAAATGAAAATATTATGTTAATTGTATTCATCTGAATAGTTTATTATAATGCGTGTATATCTATATTAGGAACGATTAACGAAACTCAATTAGCTGTCAGCGTTATAATATATCAAATCACCAGCGTTTCGTGTGTGGTAAGTAGATAAGCTTGTCATACCAATTCTTCATAACAACTTCCCATGCACTTATATGCATACCTATCAATGTTCGACTTATCGACCATTATATTCACTCATTAAAATGTCACAGCATGTAGAGGTTACGTAATTGAATGGGATATTTATTATTTGTGTGTTTGTTATTTCATTTATGTCACGCCATGTTATTAACACGTCCATTCTAGTTTAGATGCATTCATTATGATCAATGAAATGATGGGGTCAACGTAGAATGGTACCATGGTTACCCGGGACAGATTTGTATCCGGATGATTCAAATATTCCCAGTGATTCACACATATTCAAACCATTCAAAACCATTTTTGTTTTAGCATATACGATAACGATTAGCGCACATGCTTGTGCAAGTTTTCTAATAATCGTAGAAAGAATTCTAAATCGTGTGTTTAACAACAATGTGCAAATTTTATGTTCATGTAATAATATGGTGTAATATAATGTTTTTATTCTCAATTATAGACGGCGTTTGGTATGTCATCTGCTGTTATCGCTCGCGTGGGCAATTTTCTTGGAGCATACAAGCCGAAGCATGCGCAGATCACGGGACGTGTGGCACTCGTACTGACTGGTGGGTACTACATGTAATTACTTGTAATAGTTAGATCAAACCAGAGGAATTTGACATAAGTTTGAATACAAGTGATGTATGTATTGCAGCAAATTATTCATCCTTTTTAACATCCTGTAAAATACAAACTAAACCATTCTCATCAATTTGAAAATCAAATTCATAATCCATTAGGGGAAATAGAACAAATGAAGTCAAACCATTCACAGTGTTATCTATCTCGAGTTTTACACTATGAAGTATCGTATGTTACTGTCACAGTGTATGTCTGTATCTTCACAGGGATGATTGCTATTTGTCTTGCCATTGCCGTTTTCTTTACTAGAGATTATATATCATTGATTTTTACTGAAGATAAGTAAGTGATGAACACATATTGTGTTTTTTATCGTTTTGTGTTTGTATTGAAAAAGCATGGCGACAAGTTCACAGACACACAACTTATAATATGTAAATTATTATTATTATACACTTCAGGGAAGTTAGACAACTGACGTCACGTATGTTAATAATTTCCGTGTTAATTATTATCTTTGTCAATATTGGGGTAAGCATAAACTACAATATAATCAACTTAGCTATGTAGAGTACCGTGACATTGTTATTTATGTATTTATGTATTATATTATAACACAGAATTACGCAATTGTACTGGATCGTCATGATAATACACAACATCACAAAATGATGCGAGTGGACCGCACTGTAGAACTAGTTCAATATATATTGAATCAATGTCTATATTACAATACAATACAATGATATGTATCAGTAGCAGTTACTCATGCGCGCTTGTTATTGTGTTGATTTAAAGTCGTCATGCAACTCACAATCACATTTCGTATAAACACGTTACATACAACGCATACGATCCATATCAAACAAGGCGACATGGCATGGCATTTTGGCTGTGATTCTTTAAATGTTAACCAGTATTGACTCGTTTTGTTCAGTTTGTTCAGTCTGCTATTCTGAATGGATGTGGTCAGCAACGTATTGGTGCCATTCTTAATATAATAGTATATTATTTCATCGGCTTACCAGTTGGTGTGTTTCTATTACTTGTCTTCCATGCCGGAATAGCTGGTAAGTGAACCATGTATTTGTTACCCACGGCCCTCAATACAACTTGAATAAGATTCCCTGTGAAACAGTGATGTAATTGGTCCAATCTTTGCTTGAAATATATATATATATATATTATATAACGGTAGTAGCACCAACAATGGTCTAGCTTTCTCCTTTATATATAATACATTATACCGTTATATAATGTTTGGTATCACCAATCTAGGGTGAACGCGTGTAGCGGGAAATATTTTCATATAAATCCATGATCCTAATCCATTTTAACTGATTTAGTGCAAGCTGTAGGGAATAATGGTTTGTGGTATCATTAGATAGTTTTTTTTCACAGAAAAGTTCATTAGAATGTATTCAAATTTATGTGCATAATTATACTAAATAATGCAATATACATTTTAGAAGAAACTACATGTACAAGATAATCGGCTCATTCAGTTAAAGTGTATTCTGACTAATATATTTGAGGATAATTATGTATAGTCATGTTTTGTTTTTCCTTATAATTACAAAAACAAGTCCTTCAACATCAACAGTGGATCAACGTAGTTGGAGAGTTATGAAGTAGTTTGTAAAAATGAGCACAACAATGATTGACTTGGGCAATAAGCTGTACAATTTGACTACTGACATTTTTTGACAATTTGTTTTTGGTGTACGACACTTTTACATATAATGTCATATAAACTGATTTTTTGTCTCATCCTAAAGTACTTTATACTTTACAATTCATCACAGTAAGAAAATGTGAAGAAATCACTTTTGTCAGATTGAACCACGTTTTGCCCAATTTCATTTGGTCATTGCTGTGCTTTTATATTTTGTACTTGGCGTACGACACTTTGCCATATAATGTCACATGTTTTGCCTCATCCTATAATATCTAAGAAGTATTATAACATATCGCAATACAATTTAAATAAGTTTACATTTAGACAATTCATCACAGTATGGAAATGTAGGAGAAACCAGTTTCAGATTGAACAACGTTTTGCCTAATGTGGTCATGTTGTGCTTGCCATGTGCTTATATCGAAATATACTCACTGTTTTGGGAATATTCATCCTCGTGTTCAAATCATAATTTTTAACCATTTTGTATTGCGATCCGTCGGGCGAACAGTCTTTGTAAGTTTAAATACAAATCTGATCAACAAATAGGCAACGTCGTACTTTACCGAGGTAGCTGATTGTTTAATATTAGAATAAGTATGATTAACCTTTAAAATCGTAATTCGTGTTGATAGTTGACCCCTTTAAATAGTGTTCAGCTAATGATTTGACATCACAATCACGCGTTTTTGAATAATACACCCCAATATCATACATGATTAACCCCTCTGCCGGGTGCCACTAAGTCATCTGGCTCACGGGCAATTCATATTCTTATCTTGCGCACATAACGTCCCAACCTGAGGGCCCTATAACTTGCTGCTCATAAACAATATGGCGCACATGCGATAGATAGTAACTCAAAACATACATAAATAACATACATAAACATAAACTCTACTCTACATAAGGAGTAAAATGCCATATGGTTTGTATGCATTTAAGTGCGCCATTGAACTGCATGTAGGAAAAGTGGGATATAGATAATATTAATAACCAAATCATTCCAATACTGTATATGGTTCACCTGTGATCTTATTTTGTTTTCCTACGTTTTCCATATTTAGGGTTCTGGGTGGGAATCTTATCAGCTGCCGTATGCCAGTGTTTTTTCTTCAACATAACGATATCAAAGCTGAACTGGAAGAATGAATCCGAAAAGGTAATAACATTGAAGATTCCTATAATGAATATCTCAAAATTACTTGTCAGTGTGTGCAATGTAGTATAATGTTACTGTATGTATAATTATTCACAATAGTTTATTCTCTGCCCACTGTAACATCTCACGTACTACGTAAGAAAGACGCGGGCCGAGCGTTCAACGTAAAGATAGAATGATTTGATTTGGAACTTCGAATTCGTTTTTTTTTTTTTTTTTTTTTTGTATTGTTCGGTGTCAAAATGCAGATTTTTCAGAAGGGAATATAGCGTTGAGCTTGACCATTATCAAATGTGTAAAGCACATTATTAAGCGTGGAAATAGCCCAAAAATAATTTCGTGTTTGTCGAATCTCATGCAATGTTTAGGCGTCACTACGACGCTATAACCTTTGTTTGTCCAGTTTTTACGTTCGATTTCACGTGTAACGCGGGATCTCGCAGTGAAAGGATTATGATCTATTGTTGCATACTTACCATATATGGATGTTTAAATCTAATGTATTACTACACATATACAGGCCCAGGAGCGAGCAGGGGTAGAAGGACGCGAAGAATACATCGCTTTATCAACAATCAATGAAGATGAAAGCCCGGAAGAAGTGAAAAATGAAGCTGAGAAGAAAATACCATCAAGTTTATTAGATATTGGTGATGTCACCGAAGATGAGGTGGAGAGTGCCGACAAAGATTCCAATGGTATCTCCTATATCCCCGAGAAAACCACGTTCATCACGCTAACGGATTCACGATACAGAACCCCATCGTTGAAAGTCATAATAGCCAAACGTGTAGGCATTCTCTTGTTGATGACATGCTTGTTCTGTGGTGGGGTAGTGACAGGAGAGTTACTTACACCCTTTGTCCGAGCTACTTTTATACATTATTATGAACTCAATAATACATTATTTCTAAATAATACATTTTTCAATATAAGTGCTCCCTCGGCCACTATTGCCAGCTTTCAGTAGTAGACATAATATAGAAATACGTTAATATTATGATTATGGCGGTTCGTAAAAGTATATTGGTAGTGTTATAAAATTAAATAAATCGACACTTTTGTAAGAAAAGTAATTATATAATAATAGTCTTTCATAGTAAACTGTCACTGGACATTATTATCAATATTGTCAAAAATCGGAAAATGCAGTCAACTTTCTATATTGTCAGTTATTATGTAATTGTTTAATGCAGTTATAAATCCATGCAGCATTTGTGATTAGATTAATTCTAATTAAATAATTCTATCTAATTAAACGGTGTTTGTTTGTTTGTTTTTCTTCCCCATTTTGTGTGAGTTGACACAGTAAGAAATCAACATGATTTGCTTGCTTGGTTCTCTGGATCATGTTTGTTCACGTGACAATGAAACACAACAATACAAATAACAATAAATACACAATCAGCAGCCAGTAATAAGCATCCAAGTGCGTATTCTCCTCTCCCGATATGATATTCAGTATGCTGGATATCTATAAATATAAATCTCCTGTAGAACCAATTGATAGCACCGTCAGTTGTTTATGTCCCTCTAAAAATACGTGAGTGAAATCACCGTCAATAATTGATGGTTGCATCAACTGAAAGTTTACGGACAGTGAAGGTTACGGGCACATTAAAGTCGTTAAAGGATTTGTCCTATCGAGGCGACAAATTTATCAGATTTTTTTTATTACAAGAGTGTTAAGTAATTATTGATTTTGACATAAGTTATTAACTTTTTACCCAGGATACTAGTATTCTTTAAGTTAGTAAAGACACGTTTTCAAAAGAGCGCCATCAACGGCGTTTTGGAGTCCAATTTTCAACTGGCTGCGGAGCACTTCCAAACAAAATCCATGTGAGTACGAGAGTCATTTGACTGTAGTGAAGTGTTATGTAATTACTTTTAACAGAAGAAGACTGTACATCATTCATCATAATTACATCATACATAAAGGAACTAAACCATGGTCTATGATGTTGATCACGTTGTTTTGACGAGCATTACAATTTAGGACAGGATTGTGAAAACAACTTGAGAGAACACAAAATGCTCTGACTGATTAAACGGTGTCAAAACATTGCCTGTGTTTTAAGTCTAAATATACCTATGGCGTATATATAAACCCCTCGCACAAATCCAGCTGGAGAACTGTTCATGGGTGCGGTCACATCATCTGAATTGTTTCATACTCATACGCTTGAAACGCCACATTTCAAGACACAATTTTAAATAATATTTGCTATTCAATTTATATTGTAGCTAACGTGCCTTTTAATCTTTTAGTCGAAATATTTCCACGTTTACTTTCCAGCCAGCGGAAGGTTTCATTTCTACCAAGGTGTTCCATTTCTATCGAGGCTTTTTTTTTTTAAAAAAAAAAACAACAACATTATTTGAACCAAATTAGTTTTTACTTCGTGAGTTTGTGTTTAGTTAATCTTGTGTCATATATATCTAATTAAGGAACAAAAGCAAAAAAAGCTATTGAACTGTCACAAACCACCCATGAACGTTATGATAAAACACCCATCCCAAAACTATTGCAGAATCCATACTACATACTCTCAGTAACGTAGCAACCAGAGAACGCGTTTATGTATTATTAAGATCTTCAGGCTTTAGCTGTATGAAGTTTAGATTATTATTAATGTACACTGTATACACTGCAGATTTCATGCAGTAGCGTATCTGCCGTATGTTAGCGAGGTGTGTGAGTACCATGGCGATTAAATATCCTGAATTTTATTAAGATATAAATAAATATGTTTTTGTTTTTTTTCAAATTTGCTGTATTTTTGATTACTGTAACAATTGCAATTCCCATAATCACAATTAATGTTGTAATGTTGTTAAAAATGTCGTAATTAATTGTAAAAAGTTGGTATTCGATGTTATTTGCGAAAATGTTTGTAACAATATTTATTAATATGTACAAACAAATAACGGCAGCCATATCTCAACATCATTAAAAATAGAATATTTTAACAAAAAAAGTAACCCAAATTTCAAATTAATAATTTTATATTTCCTATCTCCGTTTTTTTTTTCAGTTCCGTTCACTCATATATTAATGTTGACCTCAACGTTAGTGTCAGCGTTAAATAGTACGTTCTACGGTTCATCAACAAATGGGTTTCCAACTCGTAAAAACAAAGTTACATAAAAACAAAAGAAATGTAAGGTCTTACAGCGAGTGTTTGCTGGCTGGCTGTTGACAATGATGAAACTTGGTTTCATTGTCAGTTGGCGCGTGTATGTCTCGGAATACACCCTGGAGCATTCCAACAGATTGTTATTTCGTCATACAGGCTACGGCATTTAGTGTTTACACAAATGTGTTCGGCAATAAATCTATTTTATCGACAGCAGGGGCAAACCAGGGTCAAACGAAAGTCAGCGCACACGAGTAGAGAACGTACAACAAATTAACAAGGAGGGGCAGCCTCGCTTTCACGCACTTTCCATTGTATGGAAATGAGCTGTTCTTGATTGAAGCTGTCAATAACGGTCTACATTACACCTACTTTGCAATATGCAAAGATACACCTTGACCCATGGGCGTTCATTTAAATCGACATTTAGCTGTTTGTCATCAGCTGAGCGCTATCACCCCAGTCGGTCAGCACGCAACGCGCCAGTTGTAAAGTCGCTCCTGTGGAGTCTGAAATCAACATGGAAGACAACAAGGGACGCACTACCGTCTCCACCTCTACTAATACGAGTAACCAGTTTACTTATACATCTATGAGCCTCGATGATAATCAACCGAACAAAGTGGCAGACGACAAAATTAAACCACAGCACTTCACGACGGAGAAAGACAAAGGTATGTTATAGTTGTTCCTTTGTCTTTTTGTTTCAACTAAATAACGTAACACATTATAGCTATGGGTTTCTATTTATTTTTATTTTATTCTCCCGGAAGTTCGAGATTTAAAAAAGAATTAAAATGATCACGATTCTGATTGGGGTTGCATACGGAGTGCAAGTCCACAAATTAGCGATCCCACTTTTGTACAGTACTACTATATGGCAAAATCACTTTGCAAATTACGCTCGCAGTTAACTGTTATCATGGACGTACATACACCGCATACAGTAGATGTTCTAGTGCACTTGTAACTGCAGCGAGAACTTCACGGATCGCAAGCTCAGCATATATTTTTTTAAAGTCTAAAGTTTTTTTGTTCTTTGTTCGCACTGGACGTTCATTTCAGAACTTAACATCGGCACAAACACATAGATTGTTGAGTCGCGATATATGATCACACTCGTGCAACGAAAATGAAACCGGAATTTTTTTCGTTCACGTCAGTTACTAAATTTGTACCATGGACTGTCCCCAGCAGCAAACCAGATTGCACTTGTTTACCTGCATATTTAATGAAACAGCTGATAATCATTCAAATTTATGTCATAATCCACGCCTTCAATGCTTCATTCCTCATGAATTATGTATTGCCCCACTTTACGAACCCAGTGAGGCATGCACACAACTGGAATCAACCAGATTGTACAGTTGCTACAGTTTGAAACAAAGCAGAAAATAATGTCACTAGACATGTTTTTAGCTGCACAAACAATGAAGTCAACTGTCTATGTCTAGTACTATCAAATAAAATACTAACTTTCATATTCCATGTATAATTTTTTTTTTATAATCAAAATCTGAGTATATATGTATACTGATTATCATAAAGTACATACAAAACATTACATGAAATTATTTTTGTAAAATGGATGTTTTTTTGATCAATTTTCCCAATTTGTGAGAAAATTTATTTCAGTTGGGTATTACCTGGAGTAAAATAGTAATATTTGAATATTCATAACGAGGTTCATTCCGTCACGAAGATGTTCACCTACTTTTGAGGTCTTTCAAAATAATTTGTTTTCTGAACAACCATATTAGGAATGTGCTATTGCAGTTATCATCAACACCCCTTCTGTGTCAAATGTCTGTGAGATCTAAACAAAAAACACATGGGTAATTAATTTTTTGCAAAAATATTTGTAGTGTAGAGATATGATGTACAGAAATATATCATTACATTATAGAAAATAAATGTTATGAAAGTTAAATTTCATTGGGGGGGTGCAGATAACAACTGGAATGTCTCAATAGTCTCAAACTGCCCAAGACATTATTTATTAGTGGTCATTAACTGAGGTGTTAAAATAACTTCTCTTTGTTAAAATGACCTTGCAATTTAGAGGAAAGAACTTCTTTTTGCAGTTACAGCTCAATAAACTAATTGATTTTAACAATTGTTATTAATTAACCAGTAGTGTCAGGTTGTGTAACATTTAGGATTGACTAACACTCGTAATATGGAACAGAATTGGCCATTATCGTACATTTGAATGTAGGAATGGCTATAAACACCGAGTACTATATAGGTCGGTATCTCTATAACAATAAAATCATATACAGTATTTGCTCTATTGCACAAACTAGGTAATATTTTGATAATTCAGAACGTAATATAATATAATAATGCAATGGTGTTGGCTTATGTGTGCCTTTGTTGTTAGGTAATATGTTTCTAGACCCAAACATAATAAATTGTGTGGACTTGATAACATGCAATTCAAAAACAGGAGAGTAGGACAGATTTTTGTTGTTATTTATTTTTTTGATGTAATTTACTTTGCAATAGCTTGTTGATTACTTACAAAGTCAATGTTTAATGATGTTTACCAGAAAGTTTTTCAAATTCTGGGTTTCTTTCATGTCTCATTGATATCTTGTGTGATTTTGCATCCTCTTTTTTATTGTTTGGCCAAAAAAACTTCAGGGTAGACAATAAATCGTTGGTAGGGTAGGATGGTCAAAACATATTTTTTGTTTGACCAAATAGAACAATTTTGTTTTATAAATCTCTTTGTATATAATTTCTTTGCTAACCATCATCTATAACTGGTTATGGCTCTGTGCTGATTTCACCTGATACCGCACTAAAACTGTGAACAAATCTACTACTTTGCTGCCTCGCTTCCTGCTCGTCATTGTAAAACCAAACATTTATTATGGAAGGCTACCGAAAACATATTGGTTTCTGAAATGTGTTTCAGTTGTTGTTCAATAGCTGAAAACAGAATACTGATTAAAAAGTGTTTTTGTTAACAAATTAGTGATGTTTATAGCAATTTATGATTCATACTTCCCCTTTGTTAAAAATTAGTTTCTTTAACTGAAGCGAAACAATTGATGAATACTATAGGAAGACTCAGGAGTTGAGGTTGGTCAGAGATTTTACTAATAAATACGGTGAATGACTTGTTGAAATAATCATGGCAAAGAAAACAACATGTTCGATGATATCCTGTTCTTTTTAAGCAAGGTACATTAGAAAAATGTCCCACTGTGGCCGCAGTTGTGTTGTAAAATATCCCCCATATAAAGTGAAATACAATAAGAGGCATTGCCGTACATCAACACGATACACATTGTTGTTTGTAAATCTCCAGAACCTGCTGTAAACATTTATTTAAGGAACCGCAAGGAATGTAGTATGTTCCACTATTCACAGAGCTGCAAAATTTTACCTGAGCCTGTTCGAGTAAGAAAAAGCGAAAAAAAAAAAAATTGCACTACACGAACGAACCTGCATCTATACCTTAAAGGCATATTCTTGGACAAAAGTTTTCAAAAGTTGCTGTGACTCTGTGTCTTCAGGTTTCCAGAGAAATTTCCATTGCTACAACATTTCACAATGTTCTACTGACTTACAAAATGAACCAGCTCAGAATTAAAGAAACTATAGCTTCATGTGGCTACAATATAGTTGTTTTTCTCCCAAAATAGCAATGATGCTCTTAATTCAAAACAGATGACATTAGAGTTGACAGCTTTACATATGTATACCATATCAGTGTCAGACCTATCTATGACCCTCATCTATTTGGTTGAACAATGACTTGTATTGAAGGTGGTGAAAATATAGATGACTAAACTGAATGTCATTCCATGCATGTTGTCTAGAATCTTTGTGAATACTAATATCGGTAGATGGTGATAGAAAGAAATTCCAACTTTCAAGTATATAAAGTACAATCAAGTTTAGCTCAATCTTACTGTACATTAACTATGTGTTTGCTCTACTAGAATCTTGTGTTTGTGTGATATATTAAAAATATATATACTGTATTAAAATATATGAATATTAAAAAAATTGTAAGTTCCTGATATAAATTGCTTGAATTTTTTGAGAGAAAATCATTAGCAGTGGTTTAATTAATTTGCAAAAGTTGTGAAATGTTATGAAATAGTAGTAAATTTGTAGTGTTAACAATATTAACAGCTCAGTGTTTCTGGCTTGTGGTTGCCTGTATTGAAGACACATCTTCAAAGAAGCTACACCTTTGCAGTAATTAAGTTGAAAATATATAATTTCATCTATTCAAAATCTGTCTTACTCTCCTTTTCTGGTTCATCTATACATGAATATGCTAGACAGTGGTGTTGAAGATGAGGTGGGGTTGGGGGTGTTTTTATTATGCAGACTGGAGATTTACATACTTGTTATACTTTTTAGAAAGTACTTGTTTGTTTTGCATGTACTGTGTTTTAATGGCATACTCTACTTCCTGCCTATGAGTGGTCATGTACACAGGAAACAGTAATTCATTGGCATACTCACAGGTCTGTGAACTATGTCTACAACAATGCTCAGTAATAATAAAGTATACAACTAGGACTACTGTAATTACTCAATTAGAAGTGCGTTATTTTTCGGGCCATTAGCTAGCTAGCTATCTGTGATGTGGTGTCCGGTATCCAGCATTTGTTATGGTTTCTACTCAGAAATCTACTGAATTACTTATTATAACATAACTTATTATAGCAAAAAACAGGGTCCATAGCGTTGGGAAAATCCTTTGAAAGTCTTTGGATTTTTTGAGGTCCTGAAAGTCTTTAGGTTGTCTTTAAATTACAGGAAAAATAATTTTTTTTTAGAAAGGCCCGTTTTCTCCAGGGAACTACCATATCATCAGAACTTTGAGCTTTGGGGATAGTGTTGGCCTGAATTAGGAGTCAAAATGTCTTGGGGAAAATGCAAGAAAGTTTGGGAAAAGGTCTGGAAAAGTCTTGGAAATCATTTGGCTCTTGGTGCTATGATCCCTGAAAAGTTAAAATTAAAAAAATTTTGCCTTTAACATAACACATGCTGACAATCTCCAGGTATGCCAAAATGAATGGGAAAAAAAAAGTGATGTGATAACTTGGTATTTTGTTTCTTTTTCTTTCTTTTTTGAAAAAATTTGTCAGCAGAATTTACTGAATTGACTTGTTTTTACTTTCTCAGGTGGTAATACGTTTGATGTCATAAAGATTGCTGTCATCAGAGATGCGGATTGCTCTTGCTGCCCGTCATGTTGTCACAAAATACCTTTAGATTGGAGTAAAGAAATAAAAGAACTGCTTAAACTGGCATGGCCCTCGGTAAGTTGTCTACAGGGATGTAAATGAGGTGTGGGTCAGCTTCTAGCTGCAACATTTTGGGAATTAGTCATGGCATCTAGAAGCCCAGACTTGTATACAATTTTGGAGAACTGAATACTTTCTCTAAAGGAACATGTGACAATGTAGGAAAGATTAGGACTGGGGATGGAGAATGATTCAGAGAGGAATAATGAGAAGGATAAGGGATAAGGTAGAGTAGTGATGCACTGTTAAAAATGTGAGGAAGAAATTGATGATGAAATTACCGGTAATATGAAGATGACAATTCAGAAAGAAAAAAATATGATTATAGTGACGAAGTCCCCTTTGTCTTGCTGTTCTCAATCGGGTTGTTGAACAATCATATTTCTGTACTAAAAATAGAAATGATGTAATATATCCTGTCAGAAAATATGCACAACAATTCGCACATTTTTCTGTATTTTTTTAAAATTATTTTCGGATCATAAAAACATATTTTTCCATTGGCTACAATTTTTGGAAAATATGAAAAAAATTGAATGAGCCAGGTTTATTTATTGAAGATGACAGTTGATTTTGCCATTCACAGATTAATATATGCCATATTTTTTCTACTATAAATGCATCTCCAGTAGATGTGCATCTAAATTAAAAAAATTTTGAAATATAAAAATATTATGTGTTTTAACCATAGAAATATCCTTGTACATGCAGTACTAATAGAAAAAATATGGCACAAGTAGGTGGGAGAATTTTGAGATGCTAAACGAAATTGATTCATTTATGATTTTGTGAATGATATAAAATTGTTACAAATGATATAAAATGAAACGTACATGATTATTTGGCTAATTTTAAAAGAATGAAGAAAATGACTGTAAAATATGAACTTCCAAAATTTCCTCATTTAAATTTGTTTAATATAATTGCAGATGATCACCTTCTTCTTGACATTGATGTTGTCAATGGTCAGTATTATTTTCTGCGGTCACCTTGGCGACTATGAGTTGGGAGGAGTTGCAATTGGACAGTCTGTAAGTACAGAGTTGGCTTTTGTTGATATATGTTGTCCCAATTTTAGAGAGCAATATTCCTGTATAAAATTTGCAATATTATGGAGTACTTTTTAGCTCCGCTGTCGACTTTGTCGAGCGCAGCTTATCATATGAGTGATTGTCCGTCGTCGTCCGTGTCAATGTTTTACTTTTTCGACTTCTTCTTGAAAACTACTAGCCTGAATGCTTTGATACTTAGTGTATATATACCTTGAGTAGACCTTCCTCAGATTGGTTCATTTCATGATGATATCTTCAATTCTCTAATAGGTACTACATGTGGACCACTCTCAGATTT